TTGTTCTACATAGTGAGTTCCAGGCCAGCTGGGGCTACAGGGAGACCCTGTCTCAAAAAGACCAAAAAAACCTGGGCGTGGTGGCGCATGCCTTTAATCTCAGCACTTGGGAGGCAGAGGCAGGGGGATCTCTGCGAGTTTGCGGGCAGCCTGGTCTACATAGCGAATTCCAGGTCAGCTGGGGCTACATGGAGACCATCTTAAAAAAAAGACAAAAAAAAAAAAAAAAACCCAACCCCCCCCCCCCAAAATTTTTTTTTTTATTATTTTTTTTCTGAGGTTTTGGTTTTCTGAGAGGGTCTGGCTATGTAGCCCAGGCTATCTTTAATCTTGCAGCATCTGTAGCACCTCAGCTTCCCTCAGCTGGGATAACAAACATGTCACGAAGTTTAGCTTCTGAAATTAAATTTTATTCGTGTGTATGTGTGTGTACACACCAGTGCGTGTGTGGGTGTATGCAGGTGTCTGTGTAGAAGTCAGAGGACAACTTTCAGGAGTTAGTTTTCTCCTACTATGGGATCTGGGGATCAAACTCAGATCAAAAGACAAATGTTTCTACTCATCTTGCCAGTCCTGAAATTAAATCATAGCTCCTTCTAAGTAGATGCAATTCAGATGCCAGCCCTTGAAGGTGATGCAGAGGATCAGGACCCTGCTACAAGACCCTGTCTCAAAACCAACAAAAAACAAAACAAGAATCCTAAATTGGGCACAGTGGCACAATCCCAACAATCTGCAGACTGGGCAGGACTATGGGTTCTAGGTCAGCTTGGGCTTGTGCCTGTCCCCGCACAAGAATCATGTTCTAAAGTCATGTTCGCTTCTTTGAGAAGCCAATGTCCATATTCTTTATTTATTAATGCCCTGTTCTTTCATTCAACTTAGCACATGTCCCATTAGCCTCATTTCACTAGGCACCAAAATCTAATCAACATGACAGCTCATCCAACAACAGTTTTTCTTCTCTGACAGGAAGTAAAAGAACAAAGAACAAATAGAGAATAAAACTAGAAATCAAATAAAGGTCATCCCACAGATGAGCTGCGACAGACTGTAGAATCTAATAATTTTTTCAAGAATTATTCCACTGGGCATGGTGGCTCATGCCTTTAATCCCAACACTTGGGAGGCAGAGGAAGGCAGATCTCTGTGAGTTAAGGCCAGCCTGGTCTACATAGTGAGTTCCAGGCTGTTTAAAAGGGTCATCTGCCTGTTTTGTTTAGCTCTTTATAGACTGAGCTATCTCCCCAGTCCTATCTTATAAATTGATGAACAAAATTTCTATTACAGAATTTCAGCTAATGATATACAAAGAATAACAGGCTATCACTGGTTGGCCATCTGTAATGGAATCTCAGACCTGGGCAAGTATCACTGACAGTAGCTAAAATCATTAGGGAAAAGCTGACAAGAACTTTAATAATGGGCTGCAGCATTGCAAACTACCTTTAAAATTTTTTTTGGAGACAGAAGTCTTGCTCTGCAGTCCAGGCTGGGCTGAACTTATATTTCCTACCTTCTCCTTGATTCTAGGATTATATGCATGTATCCTGGCACTTTTTTTTTTTGTCTTTTTGAGATAGGGTCTCCCTGTAGCCCCAGCTGGCCTGGAACTCACTATGTAGACCAGGCTGGCCTTGAACTCAGAGATCTGCCTACCTACCAATTTCTGTCCTTGTTTCTCCATTGCTGTGACAAAATACTCCGACCAATACCAACTTGGGGAGGAAAGGGTTTATTTAGCTTACAACTCCGGAGTCACAGTTCATCAGGGAGCCCAAGGTATGAACTTAGGGCAGGAACCTGGAGGCAGGAACTGGAGCACAGGACATGGAGGAACGTTGCTTACTGGCTTAGGTGGTTGTGAGTCACCCAACATGGGTGGTGAGAATGGAACTTGGGGTCCTCTGGAAAAAGAGTAAGTGTTCTTAACCACTGAGCCAACTCTTCAGTCCATCATCAGTCTTAATTAGGACAAGACCCACAAAAAAACCCTCTGGATCTCACTGACTTTATAAGAGGGGTAGAAAAATGCAAAATGGGGTTAGAGGGAGAGCTCAGTTGAGAAAATGCTTCCTGTGCAAGAATGAGGATGTTTGGATCCCCAGGATCCACAGAAAAGCTGAGCATGGGGCAAGATAGTTCCGTGGGTAAAAGCACTTGCTGTGCGAGTCTAATGACCTGAGTTCTATGCAAGAACTCAAGTAATGGTGAAGAGACCAATTCTACAAGGCAGTCTTCTGACCTCTACACATGCACCAAGGCATGCACACACATATGAATTTAAAACATTAAAAAAAATAGCACATGGCACACATCCGTGGCAACCCTAGCACTGGGAGGTGCATATAGGTGGATTTTCAGAGTTTCTTAGCTAGCCAGTATGACTGAATGGGCAAGTTCTAGGTTGAGTGGGAACCTGTCTTTTAAAAAAATATTTTATTTTTATTTTATGTGTATGAGTGTTATGCCTGCATGTAAATAAGTGCACCCATGTCGTGCAATGCCTGTGGAGGACAGAAGAGGCTGTCAGATCCCCTAGAAGTGGAGTTACAGACAGTTATTAGCTGCCATGTGAGTGCTGGGATTCAAACCCGGGTCTTCTGCAAGAACAGTCAGTGTTCTTAACCACTGAGCCGTCTCTCCAGCCCCAGATCCTGTCTTAAAGAGAAGGTAGAGAGTGACTGAGGAAAACACCTGACATTGACCTCTGGGCTCCACACACATGAACATGTCCACATACCCTAAAAAACCCTGTAAAATGCATTAGGACATATTCAGTAAAATCTATACCAAAGGACAATCCTACAGAACACAGTTTCTTCAAAAATTAAGAATAGTAAGAGACCTACAATTAAAAAAAACTTGTTACCAAGAAAATGCAAAATACAAGCTGAGACAGGTGGTGTACACCTGCCATCACAGCATTTGGGAGGGAAAGGCAGGAGGGATCAGGAATTTAGTCATCCACAGCCAAACAGTAGGCTCCAGGTCAGCCTGGGATACACAGGGATATACCGTTTCAAAAAAATGAAAATCAAAACAAAACTATGTTTGGATCTTCATTCAAACAGTGAAAAAAATTATGAGAAAAAACAAGAAAATGTGAATGCTACCTGGTATTTGGAATTGTCTTAAAAAATGCATGTCTTTAAGAGACACCCAAATATGTCTCTAAAATACACAGACATGAAAATGCTGGGACTGTGATAGGACTCACGAAGCCACTGGTGGCAGCACATGGGACGCAGCAGCTAAGACTGCTCATAAGACTCAGCAGGACTGGAGACAAACGGTGTCATCACAGCAGTGCTACTCTTATTCCTCTGTATTTCCTTTTTTCTTTTGGTCTTTTTGAGACAGGGTCTTCCTGTAGCCCCAGCTGTCCTGGAACTCACTATGTAGACCAGGCTGGTCTTGAACTCATGGAGATCCGCCTGCCTCTACCTCCCTAGTGCTGGGACTATAGGCATGCGCCATCACACCCAGCTGTTCCTCTATATTTTTAAGAATTTCCATAATAAAAAAACTTTTCAAAAATGAATTTTGACACCATTATACCATAAAACATCAAAAAAATTTTTTTCTCATGAAAGACTTTCATCAGAGAAAAAAATAAATTTTGGTTGGATCATTAACTAGCATTATTAACTGAAATTCTGTGCGTTACTGAGAAACTGACAAAGACAAATCATCTTTAAAGACTGCAAAAGCTTCCACAGGTTACTAGGATCAATAAAAGTTCAAAAACAGCTGTAATTTTAAGCCTAACGCAGGAAACTCTGATAAACTTAACATCACTTCTAGACAAGGGTGTAGACTCTGGAGCCTGTAATATCTAAGTTTGTATACTAAATCCTCTGCTCTGTTAGTTCAGTTGTCTTCCCGGTAGATCATTTAATTTCTGTGAACATCATACCTATAAAATGGAGGGAATAGAATGTCTTGGGTCAGTAGAGTAGTCGGCACAGGGGTAGCATGTGGTAAGTGCTCAGTAAGGAATTTCAAGTATTTTCACTGTCCCATTTCAATCTTGAGCACACAGTCTAACACCCCTGAAACTAGACTTATCTCCTAGCAGTCAGCATTAGTTCATAGGGTTTTTTTTCTTCTTCATGGAACGTAATATAATGGTATATTACTAAAAATTGAAGGCATGAATTTCAACCTAACATGGCACTGATCAAGGTAATGCTCCATTTTTATTTCTTTTAAAATTATTTTTTGCCTACATAAATTTAAGTGCAACCATATCCTGCAATGCCTGTGGAGGCCAGAAGAGGGTGTCGTGTCCCCAGGAACTGGAGTAATGGATGGTAGTTAGCCACTATGCAGGTTCTGGGAACGAAACCTGGGTTTTCTCCAAAAGCAGCCAGTGCTCTTAACTGCTAAGCGCTCTCTCCAGACCTTAAGATTATTCTGACTAGCTAGGTGTGGTGGCTCATGTCTTTAAGCCCAGAACTTGGGAGGCTGAGGCAGGCAGATCCCTGAGTTCCAGGCCAGCTGGGGCTACTGGAAGACCCTGTCTTAAAAAGACCAAAATAAGGGTAAAAAAATAAAGATTATTCTAATTTGAAACTCAGAATTTCAAAGTCTTAAGCAAAAAATTATTCAAAAGATTTATTTTTATTTTATGAGTGTTTTGCCTACAGGGATATGTGTGCCTGGTGTCCACAGAAGCCAGAAGTTGGGTTATCAGATCCCCTGACACTGGAGTTATAGACAGCTGTGAGTTGCCATGTGGGTGCTGAAAATTGAACCCAGATCCTTTGAAAGAGCAGCCAGTGCTCTTAACTACTATGCCATCACTCCAGCACCCATAAAATATTTCTCATGAAATCTAGGTTGTCCTAAAACTTGAAACAGTCAAAGATGATCCTGAACTTTGAACCTCCTGCCCACACCTCTCAAATGCTGGGATTACAGGTACGTATCTACCACCATACCCAGGTTTGAACAAAGGATTTCCAATACATTATGAACAAAAATTTTGAGACAAATCAATTTTGTAAAAAATGTTTTATCAATTCTATTTTTGTATAAAACACAAGGGAGAAATCTGGCCAATCAACACATGACTTTGACCACATGGAAAGGGACTTATCAAACTTCGAGTCTAAGAACATACAAATGTTTCTTTTATCATGTCTACAGTAATTGTCTATGCTTTTCTATTTAACTGTTTTAAAAAACTCCACATATCTCCATTGTTATCTTCTGTCCCAGTTACAGTACAATGACGGGGAGGACGCAGGCTGGCTGAAACAACTCTCCTAAGCAGTTTTCTGTTGTCCCTTCTTTCCAATCAGAGATTTGTGGATGTGAGGGATCACACCTAGAATGAAATAAAAAAGTCACTATTAAAGGCTTCTTTACATCTTAGAAAAATATTTTATTATTTTACTTCGTGTGTATGAGTGTATTGTCTGCATGTATGTAAGTGGCCCGTGTTGTACAATGCCTGAAGAGTCAGAAAAGAGCATCAGATCCCCTGGAACTGGAGCTATAGACACAGTTGTTAGCTTTCATGCAGGTGCTCTTAGCCACTGAGCCATCTCTCCAGCTCCATTCTTTACATATTCATGCTTTAGTGAAAAAGCAGTTACACACAGGATGGAATTTAAGCCCCTTTTCACATTCTAATCCTGTTCAACCTCTACAGGTATAAGTACACATGCATTTTAGCATAACCACAGTTTTCATTAGGTTCTACAAAGAGTATTCAAAATAGATAAGAACCACCAACTTACCTCTCACCTTTACTGATTCTGATCTACTAATATTTCAGTCTTTACCTCTATCATGTTAGATAATTCTCAATATTATGTTATTTCTCAAGCATAGTTCTGAAGGTATGGGGAATACTGTAGTAACTTAACACTTTAAAGTTCATACAGTTTCTGGTTAACCAATCAAATGCACATGATCAGTGATCTGAATAATATGTTAGAAAGATAAATAATAATAATCTGGACTCAATAATACCTACCACCCCCAGCTATGGTAGCCTTGATAAGTGAATCCAGCTCTTCATCACCACGGATTGCAAGCTGCAAATGACGTGGAGTGATACGCTTTACTTTGAGATCCTTGGAGGCATTACCTGCCAGCTCCAGCACCTACAAAACATCCATGGAATAACACAATTAAGGAATTAGCAGGCTCTCAATCACAGCTGAAACCATCACTCTAGCACCTATATATAACACATACAACTTTTTTCTTATAATCACTATAATACTTTCATGAAACCCTCAATACCTTATGTTGACTACTTTTATATTCATTCCCTGTCCAAATGTAGGAACTTGAACAAAAATCCACTTAAAAAAATTTTTTTTTGAGACAGTGTCTTGCTGTACAGCCAGGCTGGCCTTGAAATTCAAAGTGATCCTCCTGCCTCTTGAGTGCTGGGATTATAGGCATGTGATATTATGCCTGGAACACAAAATCCAAAGGACAACCTTTAGCCAAGATTTTTGTTGCTCTTGGCTGGATATGCTGGTGGATATCTTTAATCCCAGTATTCAGGAAGAAGAGGCAGAGGGCAGAAGGATCTTTGTGAATTCAAGGCCAGCCTGGTCTATATAGCAAGTTCCACAATAGCCAAGGCTACATAGTGAGACCCTGTCTCAAGGGAAAAAAAAAAGTGTTGCTCTTGCAAAGGACCAGAGTTTGATTCCCAACAATGACCAGGTTGGGTAGGCTTATAAGCACCTAATAAGTCCAACTCCTGGGGATCAATGCCTTCTGGCCTCTGTGGGCACATGCACTTTTGTACGCATATCCACCCACATCTATATTATTTAAAATAAAATTACACTGGGCGTCATAGCACTTGCCTTTAATCTCAGTACTTGGGTGAGACTCTGTCTCAAAAGAATCTAAATATAAACATTTAGAATACATTTTAATATATTCATGCAGTCTATTTTTGCTATCTAGTCAATGAAAAGTTCCCTCCCTCCCTCCTCCTTTCTGCCTCCCTCTCCCTCATAGGAAAAAAAAAATCTTTTTCTTTCATTTTGTTTCTTCCTGCCTCCATCACCCAAGTGCTGGGATTAACAGCGTGAGCCACCATGCCCGAGAACATTTACCTTTTTAAGAGTCTGCAGTCAAATAAAATCTGGGATAGGATAAGGTAGAAAGCTTCTTAACTTATACCAAGATGCCCCCATAAAACCCTTAGTTCAAGAGAGCAAAGCTCAAACAACCCACAATTCAAAGTTAAATTGCTAGTGGGATAATGAAATGAGAGCAATGATAACTGACATACATTAGACCTAAATTTCTCAGCTCTGTTCCCCATTCTATCTTCCCAATTAAGAACTTTAAAAAAAAATATATTTTATTTATTATTTTTATTTTATGTGTATGAGTGTATTGCCTGTATGTAGATAAGTGCACCTGTATCATGCAATACCCACAGAGGAGAAAAGAGGCTGTCGGATCCCCTGGGACTGGAATTAGGGATAGTTGTTAGCTGCCATGTGGGTGCTGGGATTCGAATCCGGGTCTTCTGCAAGAACAGTCAGTGTTCTTAACCGCTGAGCCATCTCTCTAGCCCCCCTAATTAAGAACTTTTGCTTGCTACTCCATTACTTCCCTGGTTTGGAATGCAGAAGGAACTGCATGGCTTCCCATTTGTTTTCCATGGAGGGATGATGAGAGGGGAAGCAGTGGTTCAGGATCCAAAAATTAAGAACTCTTGCCAAAGTAGCTTACCTTATTAAAATGTCAAGTTAATGTATAACTATGCAGAGGATTGCTAATTCTTTTTGGTCTTTTTTGAGACAGGGTCTCCCTGTAGCCCCAGCTGTCCTGGAACTCACTATGTAGACCAGGCTGGCCTTAAACTCACAGAGATCCACCTGCCTGTTTCCCGAGTGCTGGGATTAAAGGCGTGCGCCACCACACTCGGCAGATTGCTAATTCTTTTACCTATTATATAAAAAGATATTTGATTTTTACAGTCTATTTTTTGCCTTTTTTTTTTACTGTCTTTTTTGAAACAAACAAATAAATAAAAAGTATGCCAAAGACGTTTTTAATATTGGCACTGGGTGATAAGCTGACAAATGATCTGGTCTACATAGTAAATTCCAGTCAACCAGAGCTACCTAAGATATTGCCTCACCCAAACCAACCAAACCAAACCAAACCAAATCAAACCAACCAACCAACCAACCAACCAACCAACCAACCAAAAACACCCTCCCAAACTAAGCAGAATATGAAGCAAACTCCAAGTCAGACTGAACACAAAAGAAAAGAACCAAAGAAGCTAGTGTGATTCTGTACTCCTGCAATCCCAGCACTTGGGAAGTGGAGACAACGATCAGGATTCAAGGCCATCCTCAGCTACATATGGAGTTGGGGATCTGTGGGACGACAGGAGACCCTGTCTCAAGTAAAACCAAAGTGCATGTCATTTTAGACATACATTCCATGGCAGTTTTAGCCACCTAGTTTAGAACAACATTCACCCACAAACCTCAGCAGTGAGGTACTCCAGAATTGCGGCACTGTACACGGCAGCAGTGGCACCCACCCGTCCATGGCTTGTGGTGCGGGTCTTCAAGTGTCTGTGGATGCGGCCCACAGGAAACTGAAAGAGATGCATTGCAGAGCTTTTACAATATATAGCTGGGGGCCAGGCCTGGTGGCACAAGCCTTTAATCCCAGCATTCAGGAGGAAGAGGTAGGTGGACCTCTGTGAGTTCAAGGCCAACCTTGTCTACAAGGTGAGTTCTAGTTCAGCTGGGACTAAGGGAGACCCTGTCTCAAAAAGACAAACAAAACACAAAAACAAAAACAATATATATAGCTGGGTATAACTGAAGGCTTAACAGTACAAATAAAGAGATAAAAATATGGTCAAGGGACTGGAGAGATGGCTCAGCAGTTAAGAACACTGTTGCAGAGGACCAGGGTTTGATTCCCAGCATCCACATGGAGGCTAACAACCATCTGTTAACTCTAGTTCCAGGGGATCTGAAGGCCTCTTCTGACCTCCATGGGCATTGCATGACATAGGTCCACTTACATACATGTAGGCAACACACTCATATACATAAAATAAAAATCTAAAATATTTTTAAAAATCTGGTCACACATTAAATGCCAAATTTACTTGGTAATTACCAGTTCCTAGGGCTTAGTAAATCCTGGTAATCAGCTACTGGCTCCCTTCTTTCTGAAAACTTCACTTACAACTTCTTCACATTATCTCCAATGAATGCTTATAGTTACTTGAAATCCTCCTGCCTTAGCCCTTCAAGTGCAGGGATTGTTCCACAATGCCTGGCTACCTACAACTCTTAGTTTCTTGTTATCATTACTCCCGACTCAAACTTGGCTTCTGATGAATACTACCCTTGAAGTTCATGAGTGGTATTTTAGTTACTACCTCTTCGTAGGCTTCAGAGACGACAAAGAGGTCTTTAAGTCAGGTCCTTGCTAAGTTATTAAGGCTGCCCTGGACCTCCTTTTCCTCTTGCCTCTGACTCCTGAGTAGCTAGGAACCACAGGCATGTTCCCAGCTCTTCTCTGCTTTTAACCAGTGCATATAAGACCAGGAGTCCCTGGCTGCCCTAGGAGCACAGTTGTCATAAACAATTTGCTGGCATACAACTGTAACCTAGCACTGGGGAGACTAGACTCGAGGAACACAAGTTTGAGGACAACCCAGGTTATAAATGAGACCCTGTCTACAAACAACCCCTCCCCACTCCAACATCAACCACCAAAAAAACTCCACAAGGACAAAAATAGTATTTCTAAAAGGTACATCAATGTCCTTGTACTTCTTACTAATTTTTTTAGATGTGGAAAGTCATCCACAGTATAATTATCAATTTTACATAAATGATCTCAAACTGGTTATTTTTTTATTTTTTGGTCTTTTTGAGACAGGGTCTTGCCTGTAGCCCCAGCTATCCTGGAACTTACTACGTAGGCCAAGCTGGCCTTGAACTCACAGAGATCCTCCTGCCTCTGCCTCCTGAGTGCTGGGATTAAAGGCGTGCACCACCACACCAGCTCAAACTGGTAATTAAAAAAAAAAATTTAATAACCACACAATTAGTGGAAGCATTTCATTACAACAGCATTGACATAGTCAATAACAGTTTCCAGAGTAAAGATGCATCTCTTTTCAAAATTGGCTGTAAATTTTTAGATTCAGTGTAGAATTAATAGTTATACATTGCTGTACTCAGCATAAACCCTATAAGGCATAAAATTGAATGAGGTTTTAACCTTTAAAAAAGATCTCCATTTCATTTTAGAATACACTGTTTCATATAGAAAAACTCATTTTTAATGCAAATAACACTTAGATGTTTGCACATATGTCTCTAATCTCTGTATATCTGATCATTACTAGTCATTGTCAGTTACTTTCTGGGGTCCTTGACACCTGAGCATGGATATAAATGCATCAGGTAGATTTCAATGGTAATGTTTTTCTTACCTACTAACTAACATGAAGCAAATTTTTATGCTTCTTTCTCAAATTTAACTCATTTTTTAAATTTACTTTTTTTGTGTATTTATACAGAACACCCCAAATAATCTTATTCATCTTTACTCCTGCATCCCAAATAGCACCCTCCCATATCCTCCCTGCCCTGTCCCACACTGGAGCCCATATACTGTCATCCCTGTTACTGTTCACTGGGTTGTCAGTGTCCCCAGCTGTTCTCCAATGCTAGTCCATCTGCTGAGTCTAGTCAGCCTATCTAGAGTCACTTGTTTTAGGAAGATCAGCTCTTCCTCACCTAGCAGCAATTAGTTGCCAGCATTCCTTTAGATAAGATTGGGGTCTGCTGGGGCTGGAGAGATGGCTTAACAGTTAAGAACACTGGTTGTTCTTGCAGAAGGCCCAGGTTCAAATCCCAGCACCCACATGGCAGCTAACAACTGTACGTAACTCCAATCCCAGGGGATCCTCTTCTGACCTCTGCGGGCAATGCATGACACGGGTGCACTTACCTACATGCAGGCAATACACGCATACACAGAAAATAAAAATAAAATAAAATAAAAAATTAGGGTCTGCTGTTTATTTTCCCAGTTCTATGTTGGGTTACTGTCTGGGAGTCTCTTGGGCCACCTTGGCCAACAACTCAAAGGAAGGTATCCTGTCTGGCATTGTTTCTTGTTATGTAGCCTTTAGCTATACCCATGGACTCTTAAAGAAATATACTGATTACTTTAACCTTTGGTTATATACTTTCCTTTGGGTGTTTAAGACCACACAGTTGGCCCACATTAACCAATTTATTTTTACTCTTAAGGTCATTTGAGGATCTGTTCCTCACAGGTCACATGGGCTTGGGAGGAGGCCCTGGCTCCTTTCTTTTACCAGTTCCATCTATGTGAAGATAAATCAAAGGTCCTACTCGACCACGGCTGGCTTCGCTTGGAAGCATGGAGGAAATGTTTCCTCTATGTTGACCCTCCTCTTTGTAGACTGGACACCGGTTCAAGTCCATCTGATGGGGTCTCCATGGCCTCCTTGATCAAGAGGACAGGTGACTCACCACAGTTACAGGACATTTTGAGAGATGCTCCATAGTCCCCTGGAACTTAGTTGACCTTGGAAGGAAAGGAGCAAAAACTGTCCTTAAGTTCCTCTGACCAGATTAGTATAGGCCTGAAAGTATGGCTTTTAAACATCTATTAAGGTTAGTTCTACCAGTCTGGTACCTTTTTTTTTGTCTTTTTGAGACAGGGTCTCCCTGTAGCCCCAGTGCTGTCCTGGAACTCACTATGTAGACCAGGCTAGCCTTGAACTCAGAGATCCACCTGCCTCTGCCTCCCAAGTGTTGGGACTACAAGCATGCATCACCATGCCCGGCCAGTCTGGTACTTTCAATTACCATGTGTTATACAGATAAAGCTAGGACAAAAACCAACCAAACGTTCTCAGATAAACCTTGACCATATATATTTTTTATTTATTATTTTTATTTTATGTGTATGAGTGTATTGCCTGCATGTGAGTGCACCCATGTCATACAATGCCACAGAGGTCAGAAGAGGGCTTTGGATTCCCCTGGAACTGGAGTTAAGGACAGTTCGTAGCCACCATGTGGGTGCTGGGAATCGAATCTGGGTCCTCTGCAAGAGCAGTCAGTGCTCTTAACCGCTGAACCATCTCTCCAGCCCCAACTAGACATATTTTGCTCCTTAAACTAGTTCTATGTATGATTTGTCAGTAGGTTGTTGGACTAATAAGGTTCCCTCTTTTTTTTTTTAAAAAAAATTAGCTAGGCATTATTTATCTCTCACTGTCTAACCCTTCCACCATGGTTTCCCCATTCAAAGTGCCCCCATTTTTTTCCCGTTTCTCCCTTAATAATACCCTTCTCCTATGGTCTCACCTCTCTTGGCCTCCTTCTTTCCCTTTATCCCCAAGGTTCCTTGTATACCACCCCCCCCCCAGTTAAAATAACCCCATTTTTATCATAGCTGTCTTAGTAACTCAAGCTGGTAATTGTATGTACAACTAGCTTTAGAAAGCTGGACTTGTGGGATGGAGAGATGACTCAGCGGTTAACACTGGTTGTTCTTGCAGAAGACCTGGGTTTGAATCCTAGCACCCACACGGCAGCTCACAACTGTCCATAACTCCAGTTCCAGGGGATCTGAGAGTTTCTTCTGTCCTCCTCAGGCATTGCGCGACACCAGTGCACTTACCTACATGCAGGCAATACACACATACACATTAAAATAAAAATAATAAATAAAAAAAAAATATATATATATATATAAAAGTGCTGGACTTGTTTCCTCTTTTTTTCTCCCCATCTCTTCCTTCTTTCTTTTTTTGTGTCTTCAGACAGGGTCTCCTTATAGTCCTAGCTGGAACTCTGTATGTAGACACTAGGCTGGCCTTGATCTCATAGAGACTTGCCTGCCCCTGCCTTCTAAGTGCTGGGATTAAAAGCATGCGCCACCAGGCCAGGCAAAGGTCTAGCTAGTCAAGTATGGGTGGGGGAAGACAATGTTAAATAGCTTAACAGTAACCCCCAACCTTTGAAACAACTTGGGATATTTTAATAGAAATGGTTCAGTAATCTTCAAAATGACTTATTAAATTTATCTTATAGCATAATTATACTACAATTTATGTGTCCCTTAAAGTCTGAAGTTCTAAACCTTTATTTTTCGGGAAGTTACTTTCAACTCTAAATCCCTCTTTTCCCATATCCTGCTGCTGCTTTGCAGCACTGGGGGTCGAACCTAAGGTCTTACAATACCCTAAGTAAGTGCTTTACTGCTAAGCGATATCCCTAATCCTCTTTATACTTCTTTGGTGTTTTGAGACAGAGTGTTGCTACATAGTCCTGGCTAGCTTTGAACCTGCAGAAATCTTACTGCATCTGCCTCCTGAATGCTGAGATTATAAGCTTATGCCACATTCCTTTTTATTTTGAGGCAGAGTATTGCTAAATTTCCCAGGCTAGTCTTGAATTCACTCTGTATTCCAGGTTGGCCTTGAACTTGTGATCCTACTGCCTTTGTTTCCTAAGCAGCTGATATCATAGGCATGCAACACCAGGCTCAGCTACACGCGTGTTTTTTAATCCTTTAAAACCACTGTAAATCAAGTATTTGCTACCTTATTTTAAAAATTCTCATTCAGCTGGGTGTGGTGGCGCATGCCTTTAATCCTAGCACTTGGGAGGCAGAGGCAGGCGGATCTTTGTGAGTTCGAGGCCAGCCTGGTCTACATAGTTCCAGGACAGCTGGGGCTACAAAGAGACCCTGTCTCAAAAAAAAAAAAGAAAAAAAAATCTCATTCATTCATTCATTTATTTATTCATTCATTCATTCACGTGTGAGGGTGCCTTGGAGGCCAGAAAAGGGTATTGTAGCCCCTGGAGCTAGAGTTACAGGTAGTTGTTAGCTGACTGAGGCGGGTGCTGGGAACCAAACTCTGATCCTCTGGAAGAGCAGCCAAGTGTTCTTAACCACTGGGCCATCTCTCCAGCCACTATTTACTTATTTGTGTTGGGGGGGGTGGCAGTCAGAGGACAACTTGCAGGAGTCAGTTCTCTCCTTCCATTTTGTGGGTCCTGAGGACTGACCTCAGGTCATCAGGACTGGAGGCAAATTCCTTTACCTGATGGTCCATCTCAGCAGCCCGTTTATTTCTTAAATCAATGCGATTATCTCCATTTGACTTGTGTTACACAGTAAATACACTTCAAATTAATTCTGAGAATTTAAACAGTATTCTAAAAATATATTGCATGTGCTTTAAATTTAAGTTCCCTTTTCTTTTCTTTCAGGATTATGCCATCCAGTTCCTGAAACTTTTACCACTGCCCTCAGAACATAATCTAAATTTTGTGGGGTGGGGTAGGGTGATACACAATTGAGGCAGGAGGTGAACCTGGGCTACAAAGAGAGGTTATCTCAACAACACCACAAATAAAAAATCCAATAAATAAAATTTAATTATGGGCACATATGCACACCACAGCATGCACATGGAGGTCAGAGAACAAATGAGGGACTTGGTTCTTTCCTTCCACCATGTGGGTCCTAAGGATTGAACTCAGATTGTCAAGCTTGACAGCAAGCATCTTTGACCATTGAGCAATCTTGTCAGCTGCCAATTTTCCTTTTTAAAAAAAAGTGTTTCTTGGCCTGGGGATGTTGGTCAACGGTAGAGAATGTGCCTAAAATGTGTAAGCTGGGTTTCATTAAAAAGTAAAAAAAAAGTATGTGTAGGTGATTAATAATGAAGAAAATGATGAATCTGTAGGTTAAAGTTGTATCAATTCATGTACATGAAATCTGAAAACACTCAGGAGTTTGGAGTACATTACTCAGTCTTCAAGGAGGCCACTTGGGAAATACACAAGAGAACTAGTAGAGTAGTCCGTTATTAGTCTCCACCTCAGTTTAGTTCATCCCAGAAGTCAATGTACCACTATAAACACTTTCAGAAGAAAAACCATAATATACTTTATAAGAATGAAGAACATAGAGGCTGGAGAGATGGCTCAGCAGTTAAGAACACTGGTTATTCTTACAGAAGACCCAGGTTCGAATCCCAGCACCCACATGGCAGCTAACAACTGTCCATAACTCCAGTCCCAGGGGATCTGACAGCCTCTTCTGATCTCTGAGGGCATTGCATGACATGGGTGCACTTACCTACATGCAGGCAATACACTCATACATATAAAATAAAAATAAAATTAAAAAAAAGAATGAAGAACATAGTTAAAAATCTTGATTTTTTAAAAAAAATTTTTACTTATTATTTTTATTTTATATGTATGAGCGTACTGCCTGCATGTAAGTGCACCTGTGTCGTGCAATGCCACAGAGGTCAGAAGAGAGCTTCGGATTCCTCTGGAACTGGAGCTAAGGACAGTTCGTAGCTACCAGTGGGTGCTGGGAATCGAACCTGGGTCTTCTGCAAGAGCAGTCAGTGCTCTTAACTGCTGAGCCATCTCTCCAGCCCCAAATCTTGATTTAAAAAAAAGAAAAAAAGAAAAAAGATTTTATTTTTAATTATGTGTCTATATGTGTAAGGCCAAAGGTGTTGGATCTCCCTGGATCTGGAGTTACAGGTGGTTGTGCACTACTGGACATGGGTGCTGGGAACAGAACCTGGGTCCTCCGCATGAGCAGTATGTACTCTTTATTATTATCATCATTATTATTTATTTTTATTTTGTATCTTTTGCCTACACCTATATAAGGGCTCCATAGGAGGGTATGAGATTCCCTAGAACTGGAGTAATAGATGGTTTTGAGATACTATGTGGGTGCTGGAAACTGAACCCAAGTTCTCTGGAAGAGCAAGTGCTCTTTAGCCCCTGACTGAGCCACCTCTCCAGTCCCCAGAAGGCATCCTTAGCCACTAAAACCATCTCTCCAACTCCAAGAACCAAATTGCCAAATTCTTAAAGACATCTTGCTCTCATATAAAATATAGTTAACTTTAGGATTTACATTTTAACCAATTAATCTCACACTCAATGTCTACAGTTCTGGGGCTGGAGAGATGGCTCAGCACTTAAGAGCACTGACTGCTCTTGCAGAGGACCCAGGTTCGATTCCCAGCACCCACATGGCGGCTATGAACCATTCTCAACTCCAGTTCCAGGGGAATCCGAAGCCCTCTTCTGACCTCCACGGCACTGCATGACATGGGTGCACTCACATTCATGCAGGCAATACACCCGTACACATGAAATAAAAATAATAAATAAAATATTAAAAAAGAAAGACTTCAGTAATTAACAGAACATCAAAACATCTAAGAGTCATGAACTGCAAAGGTAAAGAAAATAATGAACTACAACAGCCTGGATCATTCCTTACCTGTAGCCCAGCTCTCTGTGAACGAGACACTGCCTTAGCCTTGGCCTTCCCACTATCCTTTCCAGCTTTGCCTCCAGCCTATGTGAAAAAAATGTGGATGGAGAGTTGAAAATGTTAATGTTAATGGGGGGGGGATCACAAAACAAAATTTCTAGTTTTAAGATATTTTAGCATGAAATTAAAAAAATTAAGATACTTAAGATATCTCCTGCCCTGCCCTACCGTAAATATATATTACCTTTTAGTAAAATAAAAAAATCAATTAAATACCTATTCAAAATGTAAGATTTCTACAAATTTGAACATATTTTTCATTTTCTGATTTTTATGTACCTCAGAAATATTTAATTAAAATATATCACCATAACATTCAAGAACTTAGCTCTTCTGAGAGAAAACACAAGCATGCTATAAAAACTCAAGCTAAACCAAATACAAATCCTGAAAAACGGAAAAGATCTACCTGTGACCTAGCAATTCCACGTCTAGGTATATACCCAAGGGACTTGATGTTCAAAGCAGCATTACCCACAACAGCCAAACAAGGCTCAATCTAAGTGTAATGGACTGAATAAGGAATACCCTCCACAGGCTCACAATTTGAAAGCTTGGTCCCCAAATGGTGACACTCTTTGGGAGGTTCTAGAAACTTAAGAGGTAGGGAAGAAATGAAGGTCACTGGGGGCAGGTCTTAGGGGCCTCTTCCTGTCTCATTCTCTGCTTCCTGGTCAGCCATGAAGTAAAACAGTTCTCTTCTATCATATACTCCTGCTACCATAAGGCTTTGTTCAAGAGCACAGGGGCCAAGTGATAATGGACTAAATCATCTGAGACCATGATCCAAAAATTTCTTTCCTCCTTTTTAAAAAGAAATATTTAGCCAGGTGTGGCGGCACACACCTTTAATCCCAACACTCTGGAGGCAGAGGCAGGCATATCTCTGTGAATTCAAGGCCAGCCTGGTCAACATAGTGAGTTCCAGGACCACTGGGGCTACAGGGAGACCCTGTCTCAAAAAGACGCCCCCCACCAAAAGAAATATTTGTATTTGTAAAATTTTGAGCATGTATGTAAGTACACCTGTGCTGTGCACTGCCCTCAAAAGACAGAAGAGGGTATTGGATCCCCTGGAACTGGAGTTACTGATGGTTGTTAGCTGCCATGTCGGTGTTGGGATTTAAACCGAGGTCTTCTCCAAGAGCAGTGAGTGCTCTTAACTGCTGAGCCATTTTTCCAGCCCCCTCTTTCCTTCTTTTACCCTTTCTTGTCAGGTATTTGGTCATGATGACAAGAAAAGTAAGTAATACAGAAACCTGGTGCCAGGAGTGGGGTCACATTCATGACTAAACTTGACCAGTGTCTCTTAGGCCTTGGTGTATAGGAGCAATGTGTAAGAGTTTGGAGATGTGGGACAAAGAAAGCCTTGGAATAATTCAAGTAGAACTTAATGGGCAATTCTTGAGGGAGTTCATGATATTCTTAGAAATATACAGCAAAGATTATATTCATGGGGTTTCAGATGGGAATTAGAATTCTATTGAGAAATGTACTAGAGGCCATTCCTATTACACTCTGGCAAAGAATTTGTCTAAATTTTGTATGTCTTCTAAAACTTTGTGGGAAGTTGAATTTAAAGGTGACAGACTATTTATTTATTTATTTTGGTTTTTTTGAGACATGATCTCCCTGTAGCCCCAGCTGTCCTGGAACTATGTAGACCAGGCTGGCCTTGAACTCAGAGAGAGCCACCTGCCTCTGCCTCCCAAGTGCTGGGACTAAAGGTATGCACCACCACACCTGGCTTTCACACTCCTTAAATCTAAAGAAAGTACAGCACCCAAACTTTGGCACTGTCACTGCTAGCTACTTTTATTGAGAACTGGGAGCAAAAAGCTGAGAAAGAGTACGTTGGTTAGAAAAGGAGTAAGTTCAAAGTTGTGGACAAGGAGAATGTGGTTGTTTGAGATTAGTGCCATTAAAGAAACATCAAAGCTATGTGGGTGACAGAAGCCCATGTTCCTAGCATTCAAAAGGCCGAGACAAGATGACCAGCCTGAGTTACATATAAGACCAGTCTGGGCTACACAGAAAGAACCTGTCTCAAGAAACAAAAAAGAAGTAGAAGGTAACTGAAACAGCATATCCCTTTATGCTTTCCTTTAAAAAAACAAAATCAACCTTGCATAGGGGCTGGAGAGATAGCTCATTGGTTAAAATATAAAGTTGAATTTAAAGGTGACAGAAAAAAAATTTTTTTTAAGTAGAGCACTTGCAGAGGACCTGGGTTCAGTTCCCAGCACCCACATGGTGGCTAACAACCATTTATAACTCCAGTTCCAGGGGGATCCAATGCCTTCTTCTGACCTCTGTGGGCACTGCATGGTATGGGTGCACTTATATCCACATATACAGACAATACACTCACACATGTAAAATAAAAATGAAGGTTAAAGAAAAAAAATCAACCTTGCATATAGTCCCTCTAACTCCAAGTCTCAGTGGATCAAATGTCAATCTCTCAACAGCAGGTGTGTGGATGTGGGGAGCAAATAAAAACATCTAAAGCCTGGCAGGTATTACAAGCAAGGAGAAAAAGTTGTCAAGAAGTAGTTCTTTTTTTTTTGGTCTTTTTGAGAAAGGGTCTCCTTGTAGCCCCAGCTGTCTTGGAACTCACTATGTAGACCAGGCTGGCCTCGAACTCACAAAGCTTTGCCTGCCTCTGCCTCCCAAGTGCTGGGATTAAAGGCGTACGCCACCATGTCTGGCCGTATTTCATATTCTTATTACATTAAAACAATTTAGCAAGAGAGGAATATTCAGGTATTTCAGTAAGGTATACATTTACCAGGGAGAACTGAAACTCTAGATTTCTACCACAATATATACTAACTTGACACGTATGTGTTTGTGTGTATGTATGGTTTCTTGTTTTCAATTTTTCTTTAAATCATTTTAAAGGAGATGCAGAAGAAGCAACAGCAGAAATTACATTTATTTATTTTGTGCAGGCAGAGGGGCACACATGTCACAGACTGTGTGAAGGTCAGAGGATAATTTTCAGGAGTCAGTTTTCTCTTTCCATCATGTGGGTCCCAGGGAACAAACTCAGGTTGTCAGGTTGGTGGTAAACACCTTTACCTACTTGGCCATCTTACCAGCCTTTTTTTTTGTTTTTAAAATTTTTATTTTAAGTGTATGAGTGTATTGCCTGCATGTGAGTGCACCCGTGTCGTGCAGAGCAGCAGAGGTCAGAAGAGGGTATCAGATTCCCCTGGAACTGGAGTCAAGGATGGTTCGTAGCCACCATGTGGGTGCTGGCAATGGAACCTGGGTCCTCTGCAAGAGCAGTCAATGCTCTTAACTGCCGAGCCATCTCTCCAGCCCGTTTTTTAATTTTTAAAATTACATTGATTATTTTGTGTGTGGAGGTCTGAGGACAAGCTGTGGGCGTTGGCTCTCTCCTTTTACCATGTGGGTGCCACAGATTAAACTCAGCTTGTCAGGCTTAGTGGCAAGCATCTTTACCTGATGAGCCATTTTAAATGGCCCCTGTTTTGTTTATTTTGAAAGGGTCTTGCTATGTAGTCCTGGCTAGTCTAGAACTTGCTATGTAGACAAGGTTAGACTTGAATTTGCAGTGACCTTCATGTCTATGCTTCCCAAGTGCTGAGATTACAGGTGTGTAGTGCCATATCCAGCTATCTTATATAAAATAATTTCTGAGTATTGTGCTATACAAGTGCATGATTTTTAAACTTTCTGAAATCAAATCTGTTAATATTCTCAGTTATTTCTTAAAGAATCTTTTCACATCTCCTCCAGTTAAAAAAAAAAAATTTTTTTTTTTGGCTTTTTGAGACAGGGTCTCCCTATAGTCCCAGATGACCTGAACTATGTAGACCAGGTTAACCTTGAACTCACAGAGACCCACCTGCCTCTGCCTCCTGAGTGCTGGGACTAAAAGTGTGCGCAACCACGCTTGGCTCAGTAAAAAAAAATTTTAAAGACATAAAAACCTCTCAAGTGGGTCAATGAGTCTAAAATTTATAATTACTGTTTCCCAATGTCTGATTAAAAAAACCAAAAAACTATGGCTGGAGAGATGGCTCAGTGGCTAAGAGCACTCACTGCTCTTGCAGAGGACCTGGGTTTGATTCCCAGTACCCACATGGCAGCTAACAACTGTTTGTAACTCCAGTTCCAGGGGATTCGATGCCCTCTATGACCTCCATGGGCGTTATACAATGCAGGTGCACTTACATACATACAGGCAATACACTCATACATATAAAATAAAATAAAATAAAAAACCCAAGAACTAGTTATTAACTAAGAGCCACCTACTACAAGATTCTCTGGTCTTTTTGAAGTATATAGTAACTACTTTCAAACATTTTATCCTGGAGCCAGGTGTGGTGTGTACACATTTAATCCCAGCACTCAGGAGGCAGAGATAGGCTGATCTCTCTCTGTGACACTGAGGTCAACCTTCTCTACATAGCAAGTTCCAGGCCAGCCAGGGCCACACTATATGGTCCTGTTTCAATAAATAATTGCTATTTCATATATTTTCCTTTTTAAGGAAGTAGACACAGTCAGCTTTTAAAAGCCTTAATACAGGCACAGTGAGGTCACACTAGCTTAGGGGGTCAAGGCACTAGCCACCAAGCCCGATGTCCTGAGTTTGATCCCCAGGACCCACATGCTGGAAGAAATAACTAATTCCTACAAGTCATCCTGAGATCTCCACACATGTGCAAGTACCTGCCTCCAAACCCCTCCAAATAAAGAAGAATGAAAAGGCAAAAGAAAATAAACAGCCTTAATAAACATGGGATATCATGGCAGACAACTGTAGTTCCAGCTACTTGGGAGTCTGAGGCAGCAGAATTCCACTTGAGCCCAGAAGTTGGAGACCAGCCTGGGCAACATAGATAGGCCCCTATGGGTTTTGGGGGAGAGTTCAATATATTAACTCTTCCTAGTGTTTAAATTCCAGATACACTTTTTCAATACTAAACAAAAAACAATAAATGGCTATTTACCCCAGTCTCTAAAACCACATAATACTCCCACCTTTATATTTAATATAGTTGATGAATGAGGAATAAAAACTATATAAAAATTGTGCCAGAGAGATGACTCAGCAGGTAAAGGCAATTGGCACAAGTCCAATGACGTAAGTTTGATCCTGGGACCCACATGGTGGAAGATGCTGTCCTCTGATCTCCACAAGCATCCTACTGGCACAATAAACACATACAAATGAAACAACACTTATTCTAAGGATTACTAACATCAAATGGGTTAAACGTTTTGGTTTTAAAAAAGTTTATATATGGGGAAAGGAGTACACAGGAAACTGGATATGGTCATCTTAATAGATACATTCTCAAGTTAAAAAATATTAAAGAATGACAACCCAAATGCTGCCAGTATTTTTAAATATTGGTGAATGGGCACCCAAGACATATTATTAGCATTTAAGAAATAAAAACGGGGAACATTAAAACAGCTTGAGCAAATTAATTTACAAATCGTGTGTAACCTTCGCTGCTTGTGAAAGTACTTTACTACAAAACAGCATATAATAACTATAAATACGGATGCAATTATCCATAAAGTCTACTCTTGTTCTAAGTTTGAGACTTTTATAACCAAAACTTGCATCCTTTCCCTGCTTATAGTTGCTCTGGCTATTCAACACCGCCCATGTCATAATCACGTAGACAAACTATTATTTGCAGTATGAGCAACGAGAGAGCCTGAGGCTGATTTTGGGTTCTCAGCTTGCAGCACGGACGGACAGTGCCTGTCTAGCGATACGATGCTTAAAGTAGGAATACAGATACAAGCAAGACCCCAAAATGACAGAGTCACTCCCTTTACAGAATCTTGATGCAATGAATAGGTTTTTCTTTTGTTTTCGTTCTCCTTCCCCTGAAACTTCAGAATGGGACTAAAAAGTTTGGTTCATCTTCATTTTGTAAAAGCCACTTTTAACTAGATCTGAATTTCAAAATGAAAGATACTATGAGATCGAAAACAGGCAGGGGTGGAGTGGGGAGGGGCAAGGGGAAGCCGGGAAAAATTCATATTGCAAGGGAGTCAGAGGACCTCAAACCTCTGCAAGCGTCCTCAGCCGAAAGCACAAAAACAATCCATCTTTCTCTGAGCGCCTGATTCCCGGCCAGGGCGATTACGTAACCCACGCCCGAGCCTTCGAACTCGGTCGCGGCATCCCGCTCCTCCTCACTCGGGCCACCGAGCATCGCACTGGTTCGGCCTTTCGGAGCCGGGCTCAGCTTCCAGGTGGTGGCGTCGCCCTCACTTCAGACCCGCCGGGGTGCGGCCACGGGCGCGACCGCGCGCAACCCCCCGGCTCGGAAGCTGCCGCCGCCAACTTCCGACTCCCACAGGCTGCGGCGCGATCCGCGGCCTCAAGGTGCCGCGTCCCCCGCCGGCCTCCCAACTCACCATGGTCTTGGCCGCGCGACGCCCACTGCCGCCCGCGCCGCAGCCGCTCTCGCAGCCCCGACCGCTGCCGCCGGAGCCGGACAATACCCTGGGCCCGCCTCGCACCACCGCGACCAATAGCCGCTCACATTGCTCGTTTGAACCCTAGCGGATGACCAATGGGGAACCTCCTTCTAATTCTAACTCCGCCCCCCCCACACCTCCTCCCTAACGGCTGTTTGTTTTTGCACACGGCGCGCGGAGGCGGGGCCTCCGACCCCAACATTGACGCGCTCTCCGGTTGGCTCCACGCGGGCGGAGTTTGATGAACAGAAGAGCCGGCCAATGAGAGAGGACGAAAGCAAAGGAAAACATTGCCCGCGAGCACTGGGGGCGGGAGGCAGGGAGGGCCGGTGGAGTTAGCTTATGTCGGGGAGTGATTTCGCGCAGTTGTGCCTTTCCCGCTCATTCTACAGCCTGCTTGGCCTCCTTAGTTTGCTTTGTTTGTCTTACATCATTAAAAGTTCCGGGGAAACGTCCAACTAGCATAGAAAAGGCCTAAGCGTTTCCCCGGAAGCTGTTGTAAGGATTAAAGAATGTTCGTGAACGCATTGGCACTTTGTAAAATTATTTAGAATCGTTTTTCTTCCGTCCATGACCGGTTCACACAACTTTAAAAGGTGTCATCATTTTGGTGCTCACCTAGCCTGAGCCTATGAGCGTTTGAATCCCTCCTCGTCCACATAGCGAATTCCAGGGCAGCCGGGGGTACAAACAGAGACCCTATCTTTAAAAAAGAAACAGAAACAAAATTCCCTGACTGAATCCAGACTCCTTTACTTATTAGTTGTGTGGATCTAGGCAGAGTATTTACTATTACCAACCCTGTTTTTGTTGTTAGCACTCACATACATGCATACACTTGTACACAAAATAAAAATATTTAAAAAATGAAAATAGCTATACAGGAGTGTGTGCAGCATGTACAACTCTTGCCTTCGTGTCTGAGATCCTTCGTCCTAAGTACTCCCTGAACTCTAGCGACCAGAGCCTGCAGTTTCTCTTCCGTGCTCCCTGCAGCCTTTTACATCTTTTCAGTTTCAGCTCTCAGCCTTTTCTTGCCTTCTGCCCTTCCTGCACTGCCCACGCTGGAACTGTTCAGTTATCAAACAGCTGGTTGCTTTGTTCCTCACAGCTGTTTAGATGTAATTGACTCTGCTGTTCCACAGTCTCCTTCCTCCTCCTCCTCCTCCTCCTCCTCCTCCTCCT